GGGGGGGGGCAGGGGGCATTTTTTTTTTTAAATTCCCCAGGAGTTCCCCCTCTTGCTGGGGGAGAGGTGAGCTGTACAGCACAACACTTCATATATGCACTAGCAATTAGATCGGTTTCTAAATTAAAAAAAGATGGATTTTTTTATATATATTGAACATAAATAAAAAAATTACAAAATGGTCACCTTTCTTACAGAATGGATGCAAACTGGATTATGAACGTGCCTCCAGGTTAAGTTTGTTTCTCCCAACACCCCCACCCTGCCCCCATAATAAATAAATAAAATTCCTTAAGTTTTGGATCCTCTTGTGGTGCACATCGGGCCCTGGGACCGTTACTGAGCTTTCTTCCCTGTGCCGTTCTTTTCCGCAGAGTTTGTTGAGGTTACCAAGTTCACCGGCCCGTCTGGGTGCACTGAATCTTTGCGTGGAGGCATGCGTTCGTTAATGCGGTCCAGCCCTCTAGCTTCTTCGAAGCTGCGGATCCTGTGCTGTGGTGAAAATCCACGGATGGCTACAAAGAGGAAGAGGAAGGCACAAGAGTTAAGTCTGCACCCTGGCATAGCGAGAAAGCCTGGCAGCACACACAGAACAGTTATGAGTACAGAGCACGTGTCTGGTGAAAGCAGCAACATAAATAGTGGGTCTGTGCTTGCTGTTGTGACTCTCTCAGGAGCTGTCACAAGTACACTGGTGACATGTAAAGTTGCAGTATCTTTTTAAAAGTCAATTTCCAGGGTCCTGATGAGTCTGATAGCACAACTGATAAAGTCAATGGTTACTGGCATTGTCTTCCCCAATGGTTTCTTTTCTCATACAGTTTAATAGGAACAGCTTGCAGCCAGACACGTACTCAATATTCCAAATAGTTAATGTGGTGAAAAACAGCAGCAAAAACTTTCACAGCTGAAAAACATAATACTAAAAAAACAGTGAAGGTAGATCAATACAGGGGGGTTTACATCAACACACACACACACACACACACACACACACACACACACACACACAGAGCAACGTCACAGAGAGTAGAAAGAGCTACTCCTTGGATCAAGAAGACAGCATTTTATCTTGCATGACCAAGTCTGAGTGGAAGAAGTTGCTTTCTACCCTGTTAGAAACTACTCAGTTTCTAACAGATGCAAGTAAAAGGGTTTCACTCCAATTCTTTTTAAAGATCCAATTCCTTCAGAGACAGGGCTCTTCCAAAAATCACAGACTTAACCAAGCACAAATCAGGTGCCGCTGCAAAGGACAGTGGAGATTCCCAATACTGGTATTACTTCCTTGGCTGCAGAGTGGGTACTGCCTCTCCACACTGTGACCAGGCCACCTCACCTAGACAGAAGACCCGGACTAAGGTCATGGGTCAAGGAGAACCACAATCTGGGCCAAGTGCCCAGGCAGCCCTCACCAAATTGTGTGCAGGGGCTGAGCTGAGCAACCAGCTATGCCACAGTCACACTGCATGATCCAATACAAGGACAGGGAGTCTAGGATTATGCTGCGGAGCCTGAAGTACCCAGAGCACAGCCATTGAAAGTCTGCGCCCCCCTCCTCCCCGACAACTCAGACATGGGAAGGTGGAAATGCATTTGAAGCAGCCCAATATTTACTTCCATCTTCCCAGCAGGGCCCCATTCTCCCCTGCTTCTGGTGATGCAAGAGTAAAAAGCTTTCACTGTTCACTGTTGAGAAAGCTCTTTAAAACTAACAGACACACAAATGACCAAGTCTCTCACAGGTTTCTAGCCATACCTTCCCGTGCCTCTACCGCTTCTACTGTGGCTGTAATACAGAAGGAACAGTGGCATGCAAAAATGAAGACAGAAAAGAGTGAGAGTGAGTGAACTGACATCATGGCTGCTGTCAAAGAGCCCCACAACCCTCCCGACCCCAACAGGGAAGATCACGGAGATCGGTGGGCAGAGAGAGGGCAGCAGGATGTAGGGACAGAATTGGTTCAGCTGAGTATCAGGCTCATTCCTACTGGCGCGAAGCTCACTGCGTGTGTTCAGCTCATGAGTCCAGTGCAGTGGAAAGGAAACCAAGTAGACAAAAAGACAAAGAGGTCTTTCAGTGCCATGACAACTGCAGCACTGGTGCTTCCAGGATGGAAAGGTGCCACATCTTCATCAGCCTACCAAGCCCAAGTTGAATGGGCTCCTCCCCTTGGCTTCAGCTGCATGGCCTTCAGATGCCTTAAAAGGGTGACTGAGAAGGATCACTCTACTTGTGCCCTGTTCCTTACACCCTTCCTTCAAAGCATCTACAAATTGCAGCTGTCAGAACCGGGATGCTGTGCTCTGTGGACCCTCACTCTGACCTGGTAAAGCAGTTCTTGGGAATTTGTTAGGCTACTTTGGGAAGAACCATCCCAGGGCACTGACTGCCTTCTGGGGGCTGCAGCACATGCAACAGCCTAAGGCCAAGTGCCCTTGTCATCTGATCAGGAGGCTGACCTTATGTGACAGCTTGACATTTGAAAGCAATGGTAAACAAAAGGGGCTGCTCCTTTTCCGGGGGCGGAGTGCTGAGCAGCACAGCACCAGGCTGTTCAGTGCCTAATGGCTCACATTATAGCGACACACAGCCTGGTATTTCCAACCTGCTTGGCTTCCACTCCTCCCACTATAAAGGGTTGCTAAGCAACAACACCCCCCCCACCCAAATCCCATCCCAAACCAAACCAAACCAAACCAAACCGGTGGCTGTCAACATGCTGCTGCTAGCTGTCCCCATCTGAGGATGTCAGTTGGGCACCCAGAGCAGCCTTCCCAACACCTGGATGATGGTAATCCTCCAGGTGCTGCACAAAGGCTTCTAGCTCAAGAAGGGGAGGAGGAAGGAGGGCTGTGCCTTAACCCTGGCTCTAGGCTGAGTTTCTGGAGTTGCCTCCTCCCACGTCCCTGTTATTAAACATCTGTCTGAGGCTCCATGACAGAGACAGAGAGAAGAGGAGCAAACCCAAGACCTTCCTTCCTGAGGCCTGAAGATTTGAAGGCACAGGCTGACCCAACCCACCCCAGGACACACATGCAAGGGGAGGTGTGATGGCTGCACAGAGAACGCAGCGCTGAGCAGATGGGCTTCCTGTGTGGTTTGGAAGTAAGATATTTGGTTTATGTTAATTAGGAGACTGATCCAGGTGTACAAGGTGGCATGGAAGTAGGCATGACGGTGGAAGTGGGCAAGACACAGGGAGGGCATGACCGGAGACAGAAGGGCATCAGAAGCAGGATGGAGCAGAGGGAAGGAAGATGAAAGGACTTTAAGGACTGCTGTGAAGGTGAGAAGCTTGGACTTCATGCGAAGGATGGGGAATCTGCAGAGCCTGAAGAAGGATGGAAGAAGGGAGGAGTGGCAGGGAAGAATGATGTGGTCTGGCCTATTTGACCACAAGCAAGCCATGATGTGCATGACAAAGCCACATAAAGCTCAGATCCTTCACATCAACTTAAGAGGGAGGGTCTCTGGAAACCCGGGAACATGTCTGTATCACAACAGGTGGAGGACGTGGGGTTCTGGTTTGAAGAACGACCTCTAAGCAGCAGGTATAGACTGCTGCAGGCATGTTCACACCTCTAGCAAGCAGCACCTATCACAGCATGGCTCCAAAAACCACATTCAGGGACTAAGAGTGCTTCAACCTTTTGTTTTCCACCTTTATCAGGGCAGGTTCAACCTGAGTCAGAACACTGCCCTCTGACCAGACAACTGGCCAGCATATAAATTAAGCACATGCTCTTTCCCAGACAAAGAAACCTACAGGACACCAAAGATGCCAACTCCTTCACCCCAATGGGATCCCACAGCAATTTCCTCCTGTCTCATACACATGTGAAATCCTTAATCAAGGAGAGACAGCTGTAAAACCACCCTCATTCTGAGCCATCAAGGAAATTATCCAGTGCTTACAGGGAGGGGAGCAGGCTGGTTATAAGCCAGTGCTTGAGGGTTGGCAGCAGGAAAGGATTAAAACACTAGATTACAGGATTCCCTCTGGGGGCACATGTTACTATGATAACACATTCCCTGACCACCAGCCAATCTCACTTCCCCCTGGGTCTGAAACATTTGGCTTACAGTGAGGTCTGATCAGGCTTGCTCTGAGGCATTAAAATAAGGCTTAAGACCAATTGATGGGCAGTCCAGGTAGCGAGCAGAGAAAAGAATAAGCACGCGCACACAGGAAGGACACTCAAACCCAACTGCATAGAGTCGCGGGGTCTGTGAATGGTCTGAACGACAACTTATTTAAACTGAAAGGATAACGAGGGATTTAGCAGGATGAAAAAGCCTAACTAGGAGGCAGACACACTTCTCACTGTATGTGTGCATGCTGTTACACAGGAGCAGTAGAGTAGCTGAAGCAGAGACGCCTAGGAGGTGGTGTTAGAAGGAAGGACATCCCGAAAAGGGTTATAAAAACAAATAATAGAGCAATAGGCATGCTCGAAGCCTGGTGCTGTTCATTCTCAACTCTTGCCACTAAGGTCGACTCTGTACCTTAGAAAACTCTCCTGCATTGTATCCATTTAGGCTAGGGGTTCTTAACCCTTCCTTCCTGCTACTCCACACAATGCTCTAGTCTTCCCCAGCACCCTTCCCCCAGTTCCTATGCCGATCCAGCAGAAGAACTGTGGGATCAGTTACTCTGTCTTAGCAGAATGCCAAATACCAAGGAACAGAGTGAAGTAGGATTGCGACTTTTGAGGCCTTCAACCAAGTGTCAGCAACTGTCCATGGGCTGAACAGCACCAACATAAGCATTCAATACGGGACACGCGAGGGCCTTACCGAGTCTCCTGTACTCACCTGTCTGTAGAGTCTGCTTCCCACCTGAGAGGACTCCCAGGGGAAGCGTACCTGTGGGAGTCAGGCCTTTGAGAGTCAGCACGCTCTCACTCTCCTCTCTGAAAAAAAAGGAAATGGAAGGACAGGTTAGTGTGGACAAGTTAGCATCCAGTCAAAATGGGAACTGACAGAGGCATGTTAATTCAGAACTACTCATCCAGCAGAGGGGGCAGGCTTGCCATAAGCGAGGGCTTCCCCTGCCATCCCTGCACATGGGCTTTGTAACGCTGTGGGAGGGACCCCCAAGCTGAAATCTAAGATGACCTGGTCATTAACTTTGCTGCAGAGACAGAGGTTTGGGTAATCCCATCACAAACAGAATGCAGATGACTTACACTGCAGCACCAGAAGACTCAAACCTGCTTTCTCCAACCATTGCCACCCAGCCCTCCTCAGCGAAGAGAGTTCTGCAGGACTGTACAATTAGATTCCTCCCTGCCTGCCTGCAGGTCTTGCTCACCTGTCAAGCTTTGACAGAGAGACACCCCCACTGCCCAGACTCCAAACCCTCCCACGTTGCCTTCTTACCGAAGAACTGAGAAGACACGTGCCATCTTCCCAATGGCTCTGATCTTATTTCTGATGATCTCCTTACGAACTGTTGTGCCTCCTTAGGGAGAGAAAAACACGTTTAAGAGGCCCTGTGCCACTTTCAAAGCCACAGGTAATTTCAGCATGAAGCATCTGTTTGGCTCTAGGAAAGAAAAATCATGATTTACAAATTCACAGCTACACTCTGGAAAACCATGATGGAAGGGGGATGGTCAGAATGGCAGCAAGGAGAGGAACACTAACAAGATGACGCACAGAATAAAGGCACAGGGAAGTAGAACCACAAGAAGAAATGGCTCAGATGGTCTGCTGCTTCAAGCAAAAACTTTTTACTCAACAGACTTGATCACACTATATGAAATGTAACACAAATGACTAAGCCATGAAGACACAGTTTGGCAAGGCAGAACTGTGACAAATCTGACTGCTGATGAACACCTTGGAATGCCAGGCTGTGGCTGCAGAAGGGAAAGTGGTCACCCAAGCATCACCTCTGGCATAAACACAAAATGCATGGCTGCCTATTGCCTTGCAACTCTGCTTGGATCCTCACACACGCACACATGAAGAGAGTGGGGTCAGGGAACTCCCCTTCTACTACACAGACCAAACACTGGAAGAAAAGCATGGAAGGGAACTGGAGGTGAAATAAGAGGGAACAGATACATCTCCTCTCGGCTGAGATTCTTCCAACTACACAGTGGAATAGTACAAGCCAAACTGGGAATCTAACATGCACCAATGGTTCAGCCATGCACTAGGTGGCTGCATTCAGAAGTCAGATAGAAACGTGACCCCATCTCTCACGTTCCTGCAGAAATGCAGAAGGGTTAAAATAAAAACACACGGCGCTCACGTTAAAACTGAAAGGGGGATGGAGAGACTGCCCAACTAGTCAGCTATTCAAATCCACTCCAAGGAGTTTGGTGGCACAGGCAGTGAAAATTAAGCTGGTAGCAAATTCTAGCTGGGTACCTTTCTGATAGCTTGAAATGTAGTGATCTTCAGGGAGAGGAGACACCAAGAAACAAGAAGATGAAGATAGAGATAGAAGAAACAAATTTAATTTTCATGGGAGGAAGAAAAAAAACCCAAAAAAACGAAATGCAATGGTAGAAGCGGGTTAAAGTCTTGACCTGCGGACAGAAGCAGTACCTTGTTACCTTGCAATCAAGTTCTACCTCTTATTCGCGCACTAGGGTTGCCCGACTCTGCGGGTCAACACCTACGTATTTATCAAAGTTTATGTGGTAATCAACTTGCCTCTTTCACACATCACTTATCAGCAAGAACAAAGAAGTGAGGTATTCTCTCTGGAGAGGGTGTGAAAAGGCAGGACGGACTGGTCCAGTGCCCGAGCACTGAAGCTTAGCCTTAACACAGAGCAGCAGCAGGCCAAATGACCTGCACCAGCAAACTGCACAGTAACTAAACCTGTGTGCAGCTTCAGTCCCCGATTTGATTTGGTGGAGATTCGGTCCGATTTGGTGGCTGAATCTCCAAATCCAAACTGAATCAGAGGACCCTTTAATCTCTCCGAACTGAATCAGAGCCCTCCGAATCGATTCGGGCATAGAGACAGCTTTAAATGTTTTTTTCTACATACATCTAGGTAGCAGGAGCTCACTAGTGCTGAGATGCTGGGGCACATGGAGTGTCCCACAGAAGCACAGGGAGCTCCCCAGCGTGCTTGGGAGCAGACCTGGAAGTGGACCAGAAGCTCAGTGACTGGTGCCTCCTGGGTCTGGGGAGGTTGCCCGGGGTCCCCCTGTGGCTGGTCGCTGAGCCGGGGAGGCGCAGAGGGGGTCCCCAGCGCTCTCCCCAGCAGACCCAGAAGTACATCCGGTCCACTTCTGGGTTCAATGCTGTGCACGTGGAGGGCCCTGCCCTCCGCCACGGGACGCTCCATGCACCCCAGCATCGCAGCCATCACGAGCCGCGCCTACTACCTCAAGGTATGTAGAAAAAACATTTAAAGCTGTGTCTGTGTCTGAATCAGCATCGACTCTTCAGATTTGGATTCAGCCAAATCGAATCAGGGACAGTGATCCGAATCAACGAATCGAAGCACCGTTCCTGATTTGGGCTGAATCTGAATCCAAATCGAATAGGGCCCGCTTCACACACCCCTAACAGTAACGTTCAAGTTCAGAGGGACAAGCGAGGAATAATCCCACATCTTGGTAACAGCAGGAAACCTTGCTCCAGAATGGCCAGGGAGAGCGCATGGTTGCAAATGAATAACACTCCTTGCACTTCCCTGTGGCTGACTTGTGAGGAGACGACATTTCTTAAGCACTTTAACTACAAAAGGGTTAACTAAAAAAGCTTACTGGAAAGGAGTTATAAACTGAATGCTAATAATTCTCCATCTCACTTGCCACTCCCTTCACACCCCTGCCATCCCATCTCCATTTCAAGTTTGTTACCTTCCAATGTTTCGTCACCATCTGAAATCAATTCATCATCGGAGCATATGTTGAGGATGTTAACGAGCATCTCTGTGACTGCAAGAAGTAGTGACAAACAGGAAGATTAGAAAAGCCTGGTGCTCACACTTGGCAGGTGTAGTACTCGGGAGGGCAAGCTGGACTGCACGTATGATCTCAAGGGCACTTGAAGAGTGGACTCAAAGGCACTGGATAGACATACACATACTAGTCTCTTTGACTGCAAAGGATCTCAAAACACATTTCAGGCTCAATACCTGGACCACTCTGCTGCTCAGGTATGCACAGTCCAAGCAGAGAACACAATGCTGAGCACATGACAAGGGAAGCTGGGCTGTCAATGCTCGTGTAGAACAAACTGGGCTCCCCTTCCTAAATGCCACACAATACGCAGTGTGTCTCAGAACATCTGCTTGGATGGGATTTCATTCCACAGAGCCTAAACACTTGAGATCACTAGGTTATTCCCAAACAATACAGCACTGAATTAGGATCTGACACTCCTGGGAAGAAATCAGAGCTCCTGGGCTAAGAAGCAGATTCTAAGCGAACTGTTAATTAGCCCCACCTTATTAATGCTGCAATAAACCTCATTTTCTCACACTGACAGGCAACCAGCCCCACTGATACTTGACTTCCTCTTTTTTTGCCAGCATCAAGGAAGATGTTGGCACAGACCTGGAAACAGGCAGTGCTGCCCAAGCAGGATTTTGGTGGCAGCACAAAACTCTCACGCCAGGAATAAGTTTACTGCATTTCGTGGTGTGCAAGAAGCAGATGTTTTTTTCAAGTGGATAGCTGAAGTCACAAGAACTTGATCCACCAAAGTCCATGAGAGTGTAGGAGGTCACCATGAGCCTGAACTGCCTGGCAGTGCTGTTTTATGGTACTGAGCCAAACTACACATTGAAGGCCTCTTAGATATTATTCGATATGATATTTACAGATACTTACTAGGCCAAGGGGGACTTCTAACATGCAAAGAATTACCATCAGGCACTGTTCTGGCTGCCTACCAGTGATTTCTCTTACCCTTTTCCCCTACGAAAGGCAAAGACCATGTGAAGACATCCATGAAGTTTGGAAGCCAGTAGGGGTGTGGAGAACAGTTGAACTGCCTGATGTTCATGACATTGTTTTCATATTTCAGTACAGCAGCTAGGAAGGAAGAAGGAGAGAGAATGTGTACATGCTGAGACTTTAAGTCCTTCTCACCAACACTGCCATGGCAATCTACTTCCAGAGTGAATAGAGCTACCATTTTCATTCAATACCATCATCCAAAAAAGAAAAATAATGCTATGCTCACGTGCCTGTTCTGGTCAGTCCAAATGCACCATTCATAGCTAAGGCTGCTAAGTCTATAGCTTCTTTCCTGTACGGTAACTGAGATGCTACCTCTACCCCTATTTAGCTTTCAAGTTGGGAGTCAGCAGCCATTTGCTATTCCCTAGCTTTAGCCTATTCAGCACTTTACTGAAGCTCTTTTCTTTTCAACCTGTAGACACTCAACTTATCCCAACTGCATTCAAGCCAGATGTTTTTTTAGGATGGTATCAGGCCCACAGAGCAGGAGAGTACCGGGGCCATTTCCGAGATACCGAAGAGCCAATTTTGAGCAGGCCCACCTCCCCTGCTTGTTCTCAGTTCCCAAACATCCACTTGCCTCTTGCAAGAGGCCAATCTTAGAGGCAGAGGCTTATCAGCAGGGCTCAGGTCACAATAGCCAAGGGAAGAAGATAAGCAGTACAGTGCCTGTATAATGCAGCTAATTTCCAGCACAATACCTTGCAGCACACAAGGTGTGTGCAGACCTAGGGAGAGATTTCACTCAGATGAGGAGAATGATGGAGTGCGCCGTGGGATCCCTGCGATTAAGGGAAGAGGAGGAACTTGGAAAGGGGTTTCCTACAAGTTAAAAAAAGCCCTGGCATCCAACTGCAAAGACTCATCTAGCTAGTCTTACCTTTGTTGTTATAGACGTCTAGGTAATTTGGTGCAGAGAAGATTGTGATTAGCGATGGAAAGCCTGTTGTCTGGCTCTTCCTGTACATTCGGTACCTAGAAGGGAGGTCAGAGCGTTAGCATGTGGGTCCTGTGGGTGCAAGGGGACAACAGAAATACTCTGTACAGCAGTCACAATACTCGGCACTTACCCGGCATCCTGGGCTTCATGAGCTCGGATTACAGATAACAAACTATTGTTCTGCAAAAATTCACAAACAGCGGGGTAACTGCAAAGGAGAGTTTTCACCAGATTAGCATTCAGCAAAGGCAATAAACCTCTCCTGGTAGGCAGGAGGAATGAAAAAAAACAAACAGTCCTAATGGGCTCCTTTTCAGAGGTGCCACCTGCTTGCAGTTTCCACCAACTTCAAAGGTGAACTGCACCTCCCAGGCGAAATACAGTCCCAAACGCTTCAGGAACATAGTTTAAAACAGTACAAAACACAATTGCAAAACACAGTGGAAATGGAAACTGTCCCAGATTTCTGGGCTAAATCCCAAGCAACCTATCAAGCTGCAAAGAGTCAGGCAGAACAGACCCCCTTTAAAAGGATTCCCTTCCTTCTGACATGCGTAATACTCTGGTGCTGGACAGTGTCTCAGAAGGGGCCCTCAGGGGTACTAAAAAGACTCTGCAGCCCTAAGCTCTTAGGTGTCAAGCAGTGCTGCAAAATGAGAGAGCTTCAGGGAGCCAAGTATCACAGACTGGATTTATTTGGTGGTGTGTGTGTGGGGAGAGAGAGAGTGGGGAAAAGGAAGGTGACATACAGTTAATGCAGATCTGCCAGGTGCCTGGGAACTGGAGACATTTTATGCAACAAATCATGGGTTTCACTCCACTTCCCAATTCCCTTTTAAATGTTACCTCAGTGCAAGGCAGGGCAGAAGCCTTGGTTCCTTCAAGCAACGCTGCCTACCTGTAGAAATAGGAGCAGCCTCGAACAGTGTTGTGGGTGAAATGCTCCAGCGTCTTCTCATTGCCATAATCCTCTGATGGATCGGACCAGAGCAGATCACACATTGGACCAAATGCTGGAGGCTCCTTAAACCGGTCTAACTGGAAGGCACACATACAATGGAGACAACTGTGTGGGTGAGATGGCTTAGTAACACACAGGCACGTGCCCTTAAGCTCTGGAGATGAGCTAGTTTAAACAAGTGAAAGCAAGAGCTCTGGATCCTTTTCATCCTGAGCCTTGAAAGATTAGTTTAACTGGCAACACACAGTCATCTCCCTTCCCTTTTCCTGTTTTCTGGGCAGTGAGGTCTGTGGATGGTAGCCAAATGTCCACCATGCAGACACTAATTAACTGGCCTTTCTGTACCACCTGCTGTTCCTTCTTCCTCCAAGCACACAGAACCCAGGGATCCTGACCTTAAGCCTCCTTAAGTCATTTCCACATGTAGTGAAATGTAACCTCCTTAGCCCAGAAGATGCTCTCAGCTAGTGCCAGAAAAACAATTCTGTACAGTGAAAACCACACTACATACTCAAAAATGTGATCCACACCAACAACAAGCTACCAGGTAACAATTTAGAGAAAAGACCTGGAACAAAATTGCGGTGGCCAGAGACCTTTCAATAAGCAGGGTACTTTACCGTCTGGAGACTCAATGGTGAGTCTCCAAGCTCTGTCAGGCACTTGCAACCAACCAGACAAGGAGAAAAGAACACAATGCACAGATTTAGCTGTGCTGCAGAATGGAAGACCCTGATGCTGTCTCCCCCATACTTTGCAGTGTAACAGAAATAGCAGCTGAAATGGAACAGTATTTTAGAGCATTACTGTTTTTTTTAAAACAAAGTATGTCAAACTCCATATCAATCTTTGAAAAGCAGAGGCAGCTCGTCGACACGCACCACACTTCATAATATGGATCCTGTCATGCCCATGCCATATGCAGCACAGACGAGGCTTTGGCTTTTCAGGCCCAAAACCAGCTAGCCGTCTGGAACACAATTTATTTGCCTTTGAAAAAACAAAGACTGATCCGGGATTCAAACCTCTCGTCCCAGGGAGAGTACTCCATCTTATACCCCGGGACAAGCGAGAGCTGTGTTCCAGCCATTTGCCCTAAGATGCAAGTAAATCAAAGCCCAGACACAAATGTCAAGGACCAGGGAGGTTACTTACTTTCCTAATGTCATCTAGACATGTGATTTCTGGGGACAGTCCTCCATGGACACATAGGAACTGCTGATTTAGGAGGGCAGCGAGAGGAAGACAGTCAAATGTATCCATACATGCATCATACACTCGCTCTGAATACTTGATTCGACCTAGTGGGAGAGAAAGAAGAAGGCTTATCACCTACACAACATGGGCAGATCAGGGTGAACTAGACACTCCAGTAATTTTCCAGGCTTTTCATGCATTTTAACATGCAGACTATGGCCACCAGCAACTGAGGGTTTGATTTCTCAGAGCACTGACAGACCAGCTCCAAGGGGTTTCAAGGGGAAGCAGAAATAGGTTACACCTATCACATTTTAAGCTCAACTTTGCTCCTGTGCATTGGTGAGATTGCCTTAGAAAACGCTTACTGAAGCTGATGGGGAAAAGGCTTCAAACCGTACTTTAGTCTTCTTCTCTCATGCTCAGATATCCGTCTTTCTTAGCAGGTCCATGCCAAGAACCTAATGGCAGATGGTCCCAAGTACCTGCCAGTGTATTAAAAAGACCTTGGGTTCCCAATACAAACATTAAGTCAATATCTTGCACTCGCATTGTACCTTTCATCTCAAAGAGCCTTACAAACTTCAGCTGCTAAATAGGCTATACACAGGGAAAAGCAGCAGCTGTTTCACTTGGCACAACAACATAGCAACACATAGCAGTTCAAGACAGGAATGGCAGCTTCAGCTTGAAAGAAGTGCTTCAAGGAAGATCCAGGGAAGCTGAAGGAGTTTGAATAGGACCAAAATGCCAAGGGTTAACACAACGAGCCTTAAAAGGAACACCATAGGACCAGTAATGCCCACAAACTGGGCAAGTTCTCAGTCTAAAGCCTCTTCCTAATGTCAAGGAAGCAATGACTGACAGCAGTGACATCACCAGACAGAGGAATTGGTTTGTTACAGATTCTCGGGGATGATCATGGCCTCTAATAAGCCTTCAGCACGACTCCCGGCAACTTGTCGGCAGTATTTCAAGGGCTCCTTACCAGACCGAGCGGCACACAAAGCGCTTCTCCTTCTTCACCCAGGGTACACCACGGAGAGCAAGTTCTCTCTCATGTACCAAGCTGTGCTGGGCTACACGGCTGAAAAAACATATCCCAGGATCTCCACATTAAAACACTTTCTAGGGGTTTAATATTCTGCAATTCTTCATGAATATCACACCTGGTGCTGCTCTAAGCAGCTGCAGGCAAAAGACATTTTTTTGCTTTAGCCAGTAATGCTCTGCATCTGAATTTCTTCTGCTGCTTGTTTTAACAGCTAGCAAGGGGAGGAGGGGTGGTTTCCAGGGAATCAAACAGAAGTATTGCAGGTTTCCTAAAAGGAAACGCTTAGCTTTCACAGCAAGCTTCCAGATGTGTTCAGAAACATTCCCTGCATGTGCTATTGACACATAAGATCCCAGGCTGCGCAGTAAGAGAAAGATCACCACATCTTTGCAACCCATTCTCTCACGTTGACAGTACTTAGGCAGAGGGTGATGTGCTACCAAACGATATCTTATAAAAAAAAGTCTTAATGTTACAGGTTAATTTCATTTTCACAATCAAAGTAAAGTGAGGTTACGGAGTTTTTCCTGTCCCCACACATTTCTGTGTGCTCTGGTACTCAAATGGTTATGTACAGTAAGAGACAGTGTGGTTTCATAGTTGTTAGGGGCTGGAAGGGACCTTACAGATCATCAGGTCCAGCCCCCCTGCCCTTGGGCAGGAAAGACTGCTGGGTTTGTCCCAAAGGGGCTAGTGAGAACAGCATACAGGACCTTATACTACGACTCACTGGTTCAGACTCACCACAGATCACTAGTGTCTGAGCAGACAGGCATCCCTCTCACAACACCCACTGACACAGACCCTCTCAGAATAAAAAGGCCCTATAACTCTGAACTGTGCATCTCTTCCAGAGGCATTTCCATCAGGCCGACGTAGAGGCAGTCTAGCAGAGTTGCTCAACTCTGCTGCTCTCTAGCCTCTGCTTGCTGTTTGGAGAGAGGATTTCTGTCTCCACGGCTGTCCTCCCCTGACCCTTAACCCACACTTGTTTCACAGAGTTTTAAAAAAATTGTAAATACTTGAATAAAAAAAACTACCCTAAAAGTAACTATTCACCCACTGCAAAATGCCAACAAAATTGTCCCTTATTTCCTTCCAACTGTAATCACCAATCCCAGCTGCACAATCTGGAACTGAAAGTCATTTGGCAGTAATTACAGGGTGCTGGGTTGGAAAGCTGGGGGGGGAAGGGGGGTGCTGAGGGGGGCTTTGCATGCAACCGACTTGTCAGCAAGACGCAGCAACACAGAAGATGCATTTGTGTGCCTTTTATCCGCACTTGTTCCTTCTCCCAGAAGGATTGAAATGCCACATCAACGCGTGATCATCCCTTTACAGGACTGATTCCACCCAAAATGTTAAACAGACTCTGAAGCAGCCTGCCAGGATACTGGAAACAAGAGGACAGCTCAGTGCAGATATATTTTTCCAAAGGCAGTTGGGCCCTCAAGGCAGCCCTGAAGGAGGATTAAAAGCCTTTACCTGGTCCTATCAAGCTAATAAGTCTAAATCCCTGCTGCCGAGACCTGGACATACTTACATTCCTGTTTAAAGGTGAAGTACTCTGTGAGGTGCCTGCACTCATGGTTCCCTCGAAGCAGGAACAGCGTTTTGGGATGATTTATCTTTAAACTCCATAAATACAGCACACACTACAAAAGAAATGGAAGGAGAAGATGGCATGTAATAAAATCTTTTATAAGGCACTAATCATCCGTAGACTTGTCTAAGAACGTCTGGGAATCAACCCAAAAAGCTGATTTCAAAGTGGAACCCTGATAGCAACCCAGTTCCATAACCGGCAGCAGATCTTATCTTGGCCAACTTCACCAGTAGGGGAAAAGCCACAGCATGCATTTCTCTATATTAGGCTTGAGCTGAAGAAGTGTCAGATGAGATCTCATTCAACTGAAACTAACTCTGCAATGGGTGGGGGATGCTTTTCCTTCCTTCCTCCCAATGAGCAGCCACCAAAGAAAAAGCACCCATTTCCAGAGCAGCTAAGCAAAACAGATGGGCAGTAAGGATCCATACAGCTGTCCCACTGAGTTAAACCACAGAGTTAAACCACCTCTCGAACCATTTCATCAAGCAAGTTAAACTTTCGAGTAGTTCAATCCCAATGTTTCTCCTGCTGA